AGATGCATGAAACCAAGGTATTCACCCAGACAACGCAACAACAGGCCACCCTGTACCTCAGGGGTTTAAACCCAAGATATAACACGGGGTGGACGACCCCAACGTAGTACTCCACACAGATGCAACATAAGAAGAGGGGACGGGCTGTAAAGAGGAGGCCAAGTGAGAACATGAAGAATTGCAAACTGAAGGCTAAATCCAACAGTACATAAACATGATAGCATATGCAGAATAAAGCAAAAACAATCTCAGATATAGCCAAATTGAGAGAAAAGAAGTCCGAGGCCAAAGTCTCTCTGGCTCCTGCCAATATCAGCCGCATGACATAAACATTCAAAGGAAGACCCAGGAGGTTGTTGGCTGTAGATGAACCCAAGCTTAAATCCTCAAGAAGAGATCGAGATGAGTCTGAAGTGTTCATTTTGTGTCTGTAAAGAGGAAGAGACAGCTTCAGAGGTATTAACCTTAATGTAATGATTCTTTGATTTAGGGATTATTAATACAATGTCAATAATGCACAATAACGGTTTGTCAATAACAAGCCTTCAAAAATGTAAGAGGCACAGCAATAAAACAGGGTACATAATTTGACAAAGTTACAACTTTAAACTAGAGCTTTACAATTCTTGATTCAAACCTTTTACAGAGTTGAGCGGCGTTCTGGTCAAGCAGCAGTGAAGGGAGGTTTTGAACTGATACGAAATAGCCTTAGAAGCTCTTATTACTTGGTTTACTGTTGACACAATCAAATACACAAAAACAACAATCGGTGAAGAGGCTGTTGTGGAAATTTTATTCCATAACAAAATGAAGTCTCAAAATAGGGCTCACTGCCTATTGTTTCCAGGCTGTGCCCTGCCTTTTGCCCTCCCTCTGCCGGTAAAGACTTCATTCTTTGCTTGTTTTTTTGGTGTAGCCCAATATCACAAATCACAAATTTGCCTCAGAGGGCTTCACAATCTGTACAGCATACGACATCCTCTGTCCTTGGACCCTCGCATTGTAAAAAGTAAAAACGACCCCCCCCAAAAAAAACTTTTGACCGGGGAGAAAAAAGGAGGACATTCAGGGAGAACAACGGAGGAGGGATCCCCCTCCCAGGATGTCTTGAAATGCAATAAATGTCATATGTGCAGAATGAACGAATAAAATTACAAAATAATCAATCCATATGAAAGAAATTATACATATAATGGAAGAAGTAATGGCCGTAGTAGCACTAATAATAGCATAAGTAATAATGGAAAAAAACTAGTATTACTACTAATAATAACAGCAGCAGTGGATATGATGTAATAATAATAATAATAGAAGCAGTAATAGTTATAGAAATGTGATTGATAATAATACTAATACGACTACTATTACTAGTATGACTACTACTAGTATGACTACTACTACTACTACTACTACTACTACTACTAATAATAATAATAATAACAGCCACTGTGACCTTGTAGATGAAAAATAGATGCATAGATGAATGTTTGACATCTTTTTGTCTACCAGCAGGTTACTGTATATGCATGCAGATGACATGACACATTCCTGGCAATGGTTATATACTACCATATTCCACTGATGTGTACATGGTGATGAAGTTCCAAGATAGGCAGCAATGCACCAGCAAAGACAATGAAGAAGAAGACCGTAAGCTAGTGATGTAAACAATGCGGGATTGAAAACACTTTAACAAATCAGCTTTGCATTTATGTTTTAGATTCATGCAACCCATTTCTTCGAGCTCCAGGAAACACACGATTAGTCTTTATGAGTGGTGAGAGCACTGACTATAAACTTAACTTTTGTTTGTTTACAAGAAACCTCCACGGGGCACCTTTAAATGTTGGTTTACAAATGCAACAGTATTGCTGCTTTAACACTTTACATTCAGTATGTTTGTATAAAGTTTTACACAATAGCGCATACAGTAGAGAACAGAATAGAACCGAGAAGAAAATAAGTACATAAAATAAATACAGTAGCTCCAAGCACATCTAAAATATGACTTCAATCTTATTATATATTAGTAGTCCTGCCACAGAAATACATGTCAGCTGACGCTTTTTCATAGTGTTTACTCTCACAAGCTGTGGCTATTGCGCTCAATGTGTTCACTACAGCAGCTGCAAACATTTCTGTCGTCATTTTCTGGTTGACTGCCTCAAACACGTATACGTTTGCATATAGGACCACGGCCGTGCTTCATCTCTGTTGCGAACATGTAAAGCAGTGTTGCACGTACCTTTGGATCATTTTTCTTGCAAATCATGTCAGCTGAGAGAATAAAAAAATCTCCTCATATGAGTCGCTGTGACACTTTCAGATAATTTGAAAACATCATTACAAAGACACAATATAAAGTTGTCAATTAGGAAAGATATTATTATGTGTATAACTAGACAACTAGAGTAGACACCTCAAGTCTGTTATGGCAAAAGTGTCAGGAGCAGCTCCCAGAGATCAGCTCTCATCACACACATTCAGTGTACACAAGTCAGCCGATTTGGGCGTTTCTTGAAATCATGTATGTGTTAAAACACTTTTATTTATTTCGTTAGAGTTGAGTCGAAGGTCAAGTGTCAATTTATGTGTTGATATAGCAAGTACAGTACACAGCGTCCTATTAATATGAAAAATGGGATTGCTTAATATCTTTGTGCTGGAGTTTTGCAAGTAATACAATTGTATTATTTTGAAGAGCTGTTAAACCTGTTCTCCAACTTGCTGGGTAGTAAATAAATGTCAGAGCAGCTTGTTGAAAGTCATGAAGAATGTTAAACTTCAGTGTGCCTGTCTATGTAGAAGGTCTGTTCAACATGTATGTGAATCCACTCAGGTGCTGAAACTAGCTTCAGGACTCACAACCTCCAGGTAGGAGAAGTTGTATTTCACACTATTAGAATGTTAAATGATGCAGGGTATGTGTAGTTTTCAGTAGTAGAAAAATGACTTGAAGGCTAAATTTAACTCTTGCCATGAATAATGACATCCTCAGTTACGTAGGTTTTTTTAAATGAAAAAAATGAAGAAAACTTCATAACAGCAGCAAAAAGCATTTGTATTGTATTTCAGATTCTTAAGATAAGAAAGTACATGATGCAGCGTGCACAATGCACACTCTTACAAATAAGCAAATTGGGCTTCCGATAATTCCATTTAAGATAGTTAAATAGTAAGACTATACTATTCTTTTGTGTTTTGCACGAAACAGTATTTGTGTGAGCGGTTGCTTATGTTATTTATTGACCTATTAGGACTTATATACGTTTACAGTGTGAGATTGACAGCGTGTGTGCATTACTGTACATACATCTATAACAGGAATATGTTCAGCGTCCCATGTTCATTCATTTATCTCTTATCAGGATGAACATGAACATTTGCACCATCAACCACACAGCCATAATTCGACCGTGTGTGTCACCTGGGGAAAACTCCGTGCAGGACATTCTGTTTGGAGTTGCATATGCGGTGAACCTTCTCTTTGGTCTCCCCATCAATGGCTACGTCCTGTGGCTTATATTTAGTGGACGACAAAAGAAGATAGCTTCTGATTTCATCCCTCTCAACCAGATTGCGGTGGAATCCCTCCTCTCTCTCTCTCTGGCATTTGGTATTTCCTGAATGACTTCATCTCACTCCGTATCTTGACAAACATATTTAATGTCTTGGCTATCGTGTTCATTATTATGCGTCCCCTGGTGCAGAGCTACATCTGTCTGGAGCAATACCTTGCAACTGTCCATCCTGTGATATTCCTCAGGTGTAAACCTTTGAGGTACAAGGGGGCCGTTTGCTTTGTTTCTTGGCTGATAGCTATTACGCTGTCTGATGTCGGCATGGCTTTTCATTTCCCAAGAGAGTTTTTCTATTCGATAGCAGCTTTGCATCTGTTCTTCTTGCTGTCGATGATTTTCTGCTGCTTATCAGTTCTCAGAGCTCTGAAACGCCCTACACCAGGGGTGGGGCTGAGGGACAAACACAGGGGTAACAGCATGACGAAAAAGGCTTTTAAGATCATTTTGATTAATTTAGTGTATACAACTTTGTCCCAGCTCCCAATGCCGGTTGGTGTATCCTTGCTGGGAACAATACCAGATCCCATGTTTGTTACTGTTTCCTCACTAAATACCTATATATTTGTCATAACAGGTTTTGTCCCAGCCATGCTGTATCTTCATAGGATGGGGAAACTGTACAGTAAATGCAATTGCCTGTAAGCAGATATTTGTGTTTATGATATTTGTGAAGCAGCGTTCAGTTTTTCTGCTCCAAATATCTGGAACAAAGTCCCAGAAAGCTGCAGGTCTGCTGAGACTCTCAGCTCCTTTAAATCAAGATTGAAGACTTTTCTGTTTGCTGCTGCCTTTAATTGAACCATATTCAAGGATATTAATCAATTTCCTGCATTTCTGCTACTGTATTTTATTTCTTACACTGCTATTTAATGTTGTAATGTTTCAATGAATGTTTTGCCTTATGTTTTGATGCTTTTAATGATTTCATGTGAAGCACTTTGAATTGCCTTGTTGTTGAAATGTGCTATACAAATAAACTTGCCTTGCCTTGCCTTTGTATATTGCCTACAAGATTTCTTCAAGGCATTAAAATATCTGAATTAAACATAAATGAGTCACTAAACAAAGTCAAATTATATACAAATGCAATTGTTAAATTACTTGGTTTAGAATATTTGTCTAAATATCAATTAATATACTGGTATGATAAACAGTATGTGTTTGATATGATATATATGTCTTTATGTTGCTTTGTTATGAAATGTAATAAAGGTGTTTTTTGGTGTTTTATGTCATCGCTTCCCACTTTAATTGTGAAAGTCTCTCTAAGACAATAAAAACTTGAAAATTTACAGCATGTACATTTTTATTTTTACTGTGCACACAAGCACAAATATATACAATACATAAAACACACACACAGCGCATGCATATTTTTCATCAATTATCTGCAGATTGTTTCAGCCACAGCATGCTCATCCCAATTGAATATAGGCCTTCTGTTATTAGAAGATTGCATTGTTACTTAGGGTGTACATCAATATATATTTCTCCCAACAGGAACTTGCATGAAACAAAAACCCTGACATATGTATTCAAAATAATAGCCTTAAAATATTATATATAAATATTTTTACGCAGACAATTACTTTACATTGTACTGTTCAGCTAGTATTTAACAGTACCTGTACATCTCAGTAAGGCGTGGGATTCTGCTTCTGCTTCAGCGGGCAGAGGGTAACAGAGGAGCCCACACCAAAGCCAGCATACAAAGGCTCACTGAACTGAGCTTTAAATCTGTGGATAAGCTCCATAGTCTCTGTTATTGCGTAAAAGGCCACAGTGCTGCCTGCATAATCCAGGTACACGCCGATTCGTGTGGCCCTGGGAGCTTCAGGAAGGTCTCTGTCTACTTTATTGTGCCAGGCAGAGTAGCCCGAGTCGGAGCAGAGAAGACTCCAAGACTTGTGGTTGTAGCCCAGCAGGCTGTGGGAATTCTTCCCCTTGCGACTGATGCTCTTGTAGGCCACCCCGATGGAAAACTCCCCGCTCCACTCGGCCTCCCAGTAAAATCTGAACCCAGTCAGAGGCTCTTTGCACAGCACCTGGGAGAAGCCATCAAAGCGTTCTGGGTGATCTGGATGAAACTGGACTGCTTTCCTCCTTGTGACCCTCTGGTTCCCGTCCGACAGGGCCAGCTCTTTGTATACTGTGTTTGGATCCAGGGACATCTTGGAGCAGTCTGAGCAAAGACAGCCATACACATTGTTTTTGTTATTAATCTTTAGATATGGAGCATCCCATTGATCATCCACTCATCCATGTATTTTCACCCACAACAACTAATTATCTGATAATACCATATTATTGAACAAATATTGCTGTTGCAAGGAAAGACAAATGTGTCAAAGTAGTCTCTTTATTTCTAATAAAGGTTGAGGCACTGAATGGACTGAACTATGAACACTGAACTCACATCTTAAGAAGTCCGTCCTGGTTTTTGGCTCCTGAAAATCAACTCTGGAAGGAACTGTTTGGATATAGAAAAAAATTAAAATGATAACACACTATTTTGTAATACATTTTATCTTGTGGTTTACATTCTAAAATAATTCAAAAGGTAATTATACAATTACATAAATCAAATGAGGGAAAGTTGAAACACTTTCTATCCACATCTTTCTTGTTCTCTGAAATGAATTCTATATAATTAATATTCACGAGAAAGTTGTATATATTTTCACATATTGACACACATATACCTTTGAGTCGTTTCTCTCCATTTCTCGGCAGAAGTATATACACGGGGGTTTCACTAACTGTGAGAATGATACAGCATTATGTTAGTGGGTTACTGGCTCACTTTGTAGTTTTTATAGTATAAAAATATTTTGTAAATTTCATCTGCTATACACAAACCTGTCTTTGAGATTTTGCTCAATTCCGTCTTACAGATGTTGTCCAGATGTTCCTTCATCTCGGTGGCCGTCTTGCTCATCTCTCCAAAGGAGAACTGAGGGTTGATGAGCACTTTGGGCACCATGGCCACAGGAGGAACGCACAGGGTCGGAAAATTCTATTGAACAAGAAATAGGAGCTCCATACTCTGGTCAACAAGTCAGAAACACAAACAGTGCCCTCGCCTGGCCAAAATAATATCATCAATATTAACAGTTATTGCCCCGTTTCATTCACAATAACAGTTATTATCTGCTATTCAAAGAGTGCATGGAGCACGCAAAAATGTTTACATGTGACATGAATATTTAAATATTGCCACCTTCAAAGTAGTGCACACTTTCATATTGCAAGTGAGAAAAGTCAATTTTGGGGAATCCATTTCTTAAGTCTGAACTCATTTGTTTTCTCTCCTGGTTTTATCACTAAGAACTGGTGAAAACTGGGGTTTTTCCAGGATTATCTTTCTTGGTCACAGAAGTTATTTTGTTTGTGTTTGTTTTTGTAAAAGTAATTTTGGCCACAAGATACATTATAAATGGATTGTTGTGTCTAAATAAAAAAAAGATAGCTTCAAGAGAACATGAACTCATAGATTCTAATGTGTAAACATCTCTGCTGGCGTTTGAATGACGTGTATTAAGACACGAATACTTATATTTCTTGCAGCCCTGTATGATCTTTCAGCACCTGCAGAAAGTGAATGTTGTCCTCTGTTTCGAGGATTTGCCTTAGCTCTGCATCTCTGCGCTGTAGCTCCAGTATCTCCTGCTCCAGACGGTCCAAGTAGCCCTCAGCCTGAGACATCGCCGACTGCATGTTGGCTGTTATCATCTGATGGATTTCAGCCTTCCAGCGCTCCACCGCCTGCAGCATTTCGTGGAAGGTCTTATCAGTTTCTGCCTGTGCTCGCTGGGCAGCACTCTGAAGGGGAAAACCAGTTTGTCAAGAGGTTTAGGGAAGGTGTGACATTTGATGACGACTTTTTTAAAATTTATTGTACACAATTATGTTTCATTAGGAAATGTCAGATCTTACTTTGAGAACATCCACATTGTGTTTGAGGTCCTGCAGCTCCTTCATCCTCTCTTGAATGATGTGCTGGACCTCAGTCTGGGTGACCACCAGGACTTTCTGTTGGAATAACAAGCTTTTGTCAAGCAGACACTTGAGAGGTATAATTTTGGGTAATTTTCGGGTGTTGTGATAATGAATTCACAACTGACACTGTTTTGTTTCGTCTAAATGTCACGCATTTTGACTCACAGCCAATCCAGACTCACTTGTTTTTCGATGCGCTCTTCCTCCGCTGAGGTAATGTTGTGGCCGCGGTGCTCTTTGACAGTACACAGCACACAGATACACATCTGGTCAGAGCGACAGAACAGCTCCAGGCCTTTCTCATGCTGGGGGCAGATCTTCCTGTCCAGGTGGCCCGTCTCATCCACCAGCTTATGTCTCTTGAAGGTGGACGACTCGTAGTGTGGCTTGATGTGCGTTTCGCAGTAGTAGGCCAGGCACATGAGGCACGACTTCACGGCCTTCTTGCGACGACCAACGCAGAAGTCGCAGAAGGATTCCCGCTGCATGTATGGGAAAGGGGTGAGCTCCGGGAGCTGGCGCCGCGGCTCGTGGCTTACATCGGGCAGATTGCGTCTCAGCACGGGCCGTGGTGTGAAGGTGGAGTGGCACTGCGGGCAGCTGTACACACCCGTGTGGTCAAACTGGTCCCAGTAGATCTTGATGCACTCCAGACAGTAGGTGTCACCACAGGGGATGGTGACCGGGTCTCTCAGCGTATCCACACAGAGTGGACAGTAATCCTCTGGAGGTAAAGGGAAACTGGACTCAGCCATGATGATGTTGGATGCGTCAAATATTGGACGAACTTAGGATCAGAATCAGAAATGTCTACAGGCTAAGTCTGACAAATGATAGTCCAGCTGTTAGTCAGTATGCTGTCCAGAGAGTCCAACTTTCTTTCATCCTACAACTCTTTTTCAAACCAGGGACAATGTTGGTCGCTGGCGATATTTAAAGGAAAGCCTTTGTTTCTACTGTAAACACACAGTGATGTCTTCGCATATCACCTCTGTCCCAGCATCTGAGTGAAAGATACTACAGTCCACCACCACGATGGAACAGCTTAACAAGCAGGAATTTCAGGGAAAGTAAACTCACACAGTAAGGTGAAGTTGTCAGCAAAATATCATCATATTAAAGAAGTCAACACCTTCCATCATTTGTATTGGTGTTTAACTGAAATGCACCTTGACACCATGGTCTGTTTTAGCTTTGACATTTTTTATATTTACAAAACAAGGTTCATCTGACCTAATGTTTGC